AGGCCTCTTTTATACTTGCATGCCGCATGCCACATGCCACATGCCAGGCGGGTGTATTAACATTGTTTAAATGGGACCCTTTCATACTTACCTGCTCGCGTCGAGCGGTCACTTTCACCCGCGCGGCATGCGGCTGAGGCGTGTCGGGACGGGCGTGCGGCCATCACCGCCTAGCGTGTCCCGCCACGCGGTTGGGACCAATACCTAACGGGAGTTTTTATACTTCATGCTACATGCCAAGCGGTTGGGTTCAGTTCAGTTCAGATTAGCTTGTAGTCTTGCAAAGTGCTAGCTTGGAGAATGGATGCAATTGATACAGAGGTGCTGATTAGTGAAGTGCAATCTAGACCTATGTTATGGAACCCAGGAAAGGAAGACTACAAAAACCGAGATCTGCGGAATAAAGCGTGGGAAGAGATTTGTAGCAATATCATCCCTACATTTGATGAAGCTGATGACAATCTAAAGAAAAAATTAGGTGAGTTCTTATTTTCTATTTGGTTTCTTGTTTATTTAATTTACAGGCAATTGCACTGATCTTGTTTTTGTTACATGACGAAATTACAAACCACAACACATAATACTCTTATAATTAATTCTTCATAGTTTAAATCATTGATTCCTGCCACGGCACACTACCAACACCCAAGAAGTACTGTGAAAAATTGTCCCTTATTGAAGCATTCGACTGACCACCTCCTCTGTTGCATAGCCCTTGTCTGAAATCTTCGAACCCCACCACTGTCAGTGTGTCTTCATAATCGAAACCGTCTCTGACTCTAATGAAGTTGTGCAGAACACAACAGGCTTTTACAATGTCCACAGCAAGATTTGTTTCAACGTTTAAAGGGCGATGGAAAATTCGCCATTTGTTGCTTAGAATCCCGAAAGTACACTCAACATATCTTCGAGCCCGGGTCAACCGATAGTTGAATACTCTCTTGTTGTGATTCAGATGTTTCCTGGAATAAGGTCTTAGCACATGTTCACTGAGAGAGAAAGCTTCATCTGCAACTAATACATGAGGCAGTATAGGGTTAACAGTTCCTGGTAGTGGCTTTGGTGGAGGGATGTCAAGCATTCCGTTAGTCATCTTACACCAAAATAAACTATTTTGAAATACAGTGGAATCACAATTTCTCCCATAAGCCCCTACGTCAATGAAAGTAAAACAGTAATTGGCGTCACAAATGGCCATCAGACAAACAGAAAAAAAATGTTTGTAGTTCATAAAAAGTGACCCACTGTGTTGTGGTCTCACTAAACGAACATGCTTCCCGTCAACTGCCCCCAGACAGTTGGGAAAGTTTGCTTTATTTTCAAAGACAAGGCTGATTTCTTTCCATCTCTCTAAAGATGGTTCAGTCATGCACTCGTTTCTCAGCACCAACCACAAAATCATACATACTTCACGCACTATTTTAGATATAGTTGTTATGCCTATTCTGTATGAGTAGTGAAGATCGGTGAATGTATTTCCACTTGCAAGATATCTGAAAATAAGATTTTTGAAAAAGTTAGTTGGTATGCACATAATTTGATTTAATTACGAGTATATACTTGCATCTACTCGTATACATTATTAATTTAAACTGTTTCTTTTCAGTTGAAAAAGTTCGTTCCAGATGGAAATCCTCAAGGGATTCCTACATGAAGGCGAAGGGAAAAGTTAAAGTTCTGAAATCTGGGTCAGCGCCATGCAAGGCAATTAGATACATATATTATGAACAAATGCAATTTCTAGACAAAATACAACAAAGGTCTACCATTTCTAACTTTGAACAAGCTGCAGAAGATGAGGATATTAGTGAAGTTTTTCATAATAGTGAAACTAACGAAGATGACATTCGTGATGACGATTCAGATGCTCAAGATGCAGCCAGAAGGAAGTTCACCGAATCTGTCAAGAATCGGGAGAAAAAGAAACAAAAACTGGACGATTTTGGTGAAAACCTTCTGGCTCTATTAAAAAGCAGCAAAGAAACAGAAGAAGACGCTGACCGGGCATTCTTGTTATCCCTGCTCCCACATGTCAGAGGGTTTGACGAAGATCAAAAACTGGATTTCCAAAGTGGGGTACTACAATTGATAACGAAAATAAAACGAGGAAATTATGCACCGCCCACTCCAATTGGTTCTCATGCCTCATATCCGCAATATCATTCATATAATCCAGATCCATCCCAAATCATTTACAGCCACAAACAACAATCTGATCCAGGTCCATCCATAAGAGAGAATGAACATTTTTGAAAGATAAAACTGCCTCTCGAGTAGTGCTCAGCTCCATGGAGTTAGTTAGTTAATTAGTTAGTTTAAACTTCTAAATATAATGTATTTGTTTATGTGATAATTAAAATAATGTTTCAATAATCTGACCTTGGAGGTTTTAATTGTACTTTCTATGTCTATATGAAACAGAAAATAAGCTTACCTCAGAGTTACACAAAGTCTCTCCATTGGACTAATGGGCATGGAGTGGGTCCTTGTAATACGAAAATGACTTTCAACTTTCCCAAATAATTCGTCGAATGTTTTGGGGCTCATCCTAAAATAATTGAAGAACTTTATTTCATCTTCTCGTAAGTCAGCGTACAGGGTTATGAAAGCTCCTTTCAAGTCTCTTTGGATGTTGAGAGGATGAACACTGAAACGCCTTTTCTTCTTTTCTTTTCTTGCCATCTTCTCATACAGGTATGCAGCAGCGACCGCTTTAGTTGCGAACCCTGCCATGGCACACGCTCGACTGACAAAACCATTTTATACTTAACCGCCGCACGCCTGACTTCAGGCATGTGGCATGTGGCATGCGGCATGCAAGTATAAAAGAGGCCTAAGTAAAAGGTACACTCCGCAAGTCCACATCTGAACACTTGACATATTAAGTTATCCTGTGATAACATTTGCACCAGCCTACACGTAGCAAAAAAGCAAAGGTTCCTTTAGGCCAAAATAACCCTTATGAATTTCGGAAGGCATGGTTACATTTACGCCATTCCAGGTGGTTTTTAAACAGACTTTCCTCCATTCTAATCCCTTTCTTAAATCAGCAAAGGCTCCTTTCTGAATCTGTTAGGTGCCTTAAGAAGATTCATACATCTTAGATCTAACTGAACAGAAGTCTGCCTATCGTTGATATAAATTAAGGAGAGATTTCGCAATGGGCAATATACTCTGTGGTGTGACTTCAGCGTTACCTAATTTTGTTTCCCACCGTTTAAGTGTTTTTTTTTCGGGTCATTCGCCTGATTGATTTGGTGACCCAATTGACTGTCATTTTACAGGCTGGATCCCTGGTTTCTTGCTACAGTTTTCGTAGATTCTGTTTATATTTTATCATACGATCTAGACCAGGAAGATCGTTATTTATTACCGAAAGTGTAATTTTACTTGTCGATAACCTATATGAAGAAGCAATAGAAGCTGAAAAGTCGCGTGCTCTTTATTGGCTTCTCCCCCTGAATTAATATCTAGTTTAGGTGATATTAATTCAGAAGCGAGGCTTTGAAAGAAACCGCTCCAAATCTGTAAATTTTTCAATGGGTTCCGAAAGATTCCTAATTTTAACGTGATCCACTATGTGGAATAATACTGGTAAGTGATCTCAGTCCAAAATATCAGAGACGATAACATCTGACACGCTGATATTTTGGTGAACCACGATATCTAACACGTCACCATTTCCCGCAGGGAAATAATGAGTGGGGCACTGTGGTGCTGAAATTTCGAAATTATTCATATCAAATCAATCCATAAATTTCAAGCCTGAGGGATTTGAAACTCTGCTATTCCAAATAATGTGTTTAGCATTCAAATCACCTGCCAAAATAGTTCTACGTCTGAAGCTTAAGAGCTCAGTGATGTCAGTATCACTCCAGGCTCTGCCTGGAGATTTATAAACAGCTGCAAACTGCAATTCGCTTTACCAATTGGTATGCAGACCCCTGTCGCTTCTACTGAAACCATAGGTGGTAGATCTACATGGTTATGGGGAATGCCTTTTCTTACTGCAACGGCAGTTCCGCCTTTTCTGCCCGAGGGGTGGTCAATTCTATAAAAGTGGTAATTGGGATAAAGAACCTTTCATGACTTTGCAGATGTGTCTCTGAAAACGGGGCCATATTTACGTGTAGGTCTTGCATTTGTTTACTGAACGAATAGCGCTGCCTCTTAATACATACTGAACAATAAGCATGCAGGCAGGCATCGGGACTATGGCAAGCACATGCAGATATCTGAGAATCTTCAGGCGACTCTCGCTCGAAGGAAGAAACCGATGACATAACTAAGAAATGTTACCAAAAATTCAACATGAAACACGTCCACACAAATTCTAAGATAACTCACGCAGAAGGCATTCCTCATGTACGTCACCTTGTAAAACTTGGTATGGTGTGGCGGTATAATTTGCACCGACACGAGGGCCCATTATGTCTCTGTAACATACCCAGCAGCTGGTCAATTCTCAACAACACTTTTTACAACATTCCATTGAAGTTTCCCAGCTCATTCAGTCTGACTTGTCACATTGCCGCCAACTTCGATTGATGGTGACACAAGGCTACCAACATCAGCAGCTTCCCACGATATCTTAGTCTCTAGAATATGGCCGGTAAAACAAGAAATTGACTTGCTTCACAGATATATACCTTGAAGCTCAACGGAAACTTTAGAATGACAAATATTGATTACCTAAATTGGGAGAGAGAGAGAGAGAGAGAGAGAGAGCGAGAACATTGTTAATCAAAAATGCAAGTCAAACACTATACGAAACTCATCAAATTAAGTTACAAATGAAATCAACTACATCACATTACCTTATCTTACATCATATTTTTCGATCCCACTACAGCCGCAGAGGGCCTAGGACTACCCCCATCAACTTCTTCTTTAACTTCGATTTTCCTAGATCTTACACATTCGCTAGGACTCCTTGGGAGGGTGATCAGCTCGTCAAAAGGCCTCTACCTGTACACAAACACAGACAAATGCACACACAGAAACTAAACTTCTATAGCATCAGTGGGATTCCAACCCACAATTCCGGTTTCCATGCGAGGGAAGACAGTTCTTGCCTTAGACCACTTGGCTACCGTGGCCGATCCTTATCTTACATAACTAAGTGAAAAATTTCATGCTAAGGGAATAGTGAAAATTTTTACTTTCTTTGACCAATGAAAGCCCCATGCTTACTATGTAAGAATAATGCCACTTGTATGGATGGCAAAGTTGGAAGGCAATCATGCAGGCTCAAAGAGGAAGCAACACGCAGGCTGAAACAGACAGGCAAGTATTCACTTGAAGAAAAACCCATCTTCACAACAACCACATGCATCAAAAACCCAAAATTTAATACCTGAAAAATAAGTCTAAAAGCAGAGAACAACCAATATAACTCCTATTAAGCACTCTCCTGCTGTACAACTTACCCCACATTCATGGTATGGTGTGGCGGTCCCATTTCCACTGTCATTAAGACACACTTGTGCTATGCAACTTCACCAGTACTAGATCCATTCTCATCAAATCTCTACAACACGACACATCACTGAAGCTTTTGCATGTTCATTGCCAGATCTGTTTCATTGCAACTCAGTTCATAACATGGTGTCGCAAAGCACCCACAGCAGCAAACTCCTTCCAGGTTTTCTAATTCTCCAAAATTTTACCTGAAGAAAAAAATCAGCCTCTCACTTCCTAGAAATATATGATGAAGCCCCACTAGGACATCATAATTACAAATACTTAATTATCTTAATTATAACAGAGAACAGTTAAACTTAAATATGTAATTCAATCAACTATACAGTGTCTCAATTCCCATTATAACTTGACTAAATATGATCACATATTTTTATATGTCACCTCATTCATTGAAAGAATTCATGTTAAGTCAATACTGTGTCTCTCCTTCTTCCTCATGCCAATTGAAGCCACATGCATTCTAGTTAAGAACAATGCCAGGTAGAAGGTGGGCTGAGGCAGGCAGGAAAACCAGAAGGAAGAATAAAAAAGCAGGTTAATACATACTGAACAATAAGCACGCAGGCAGGCATCGAGACTAAGGCAAGCACATGCAGATATCTGAGAATCATCAGGCGACTCTCGCTCGAAGGAAGAAACCGATGACATAACTAAGAAATGTTACCAAAAATTCAACATGAAACACGTGCACACAACTACTAAGATAACTCACGCAGAAGGCATTCCTCATGTACGTCACCTTGTAAATGTTGGTATGGTGTGGCGGTATAATTTTCACCGACACGAGGGCCCATTATGTCTCTGTAACATACCCAGCAGCTGATCAATTCTCAACAACACTTTTTACAACATTCCATTGACGTTTCCCAGCTCATTCAGTCTGACTTGTCACATTGCCGCTAACTTCTATTGATGGTGACACAAGGCTACCAACATCAGCAGCTTCCCACGATATCTTAGTCTCCAGAATATGGCCTGTAGGACAAGAAATTGACTTGCTTCACAGATATATATCTTGAAGCTCAACGGAAAGTTTAGAATGACAAATATTGATTACCTAAATTGGGAGAGAGNGAGAGAGAGAGAGAGAACACTGTTAATCAAAAATGCAAATCAAACACTATATGAAACTCATCAAATTAAGTTACAAATGAAATCAACTACATCACATTTCCTTATCTTACATCATATTTTTCGTTCCCACTACAGCCGCAGAGGGCCTAGGACTACCCCCATCAACTTCTCCTTTAACTTCGATTTTCCTAGATCTTACACATTCGCTAGGACTCCTTGGGAGGGTGATCAGCTCGTCAAAAGGCCTCTACCTGTACACAAGCCAGACAAATGCACACACAGAAAGTAAACTTCTATACCATCAGTGGGATTCCAGCCCACAATTCCGGTTCCATGCGAAGGAAGACAGTTATTGCCTTAGACCACTTGGCTACCGTGGCCGATCCTTATCTTCCATAACTACGTGAAAAATTTCATGCTAAGGGAATAGTGAAAATTTTTACTTTCTTTGACCAATGAAAGCCCCATGCTTACTATATAAGAATAATGCCACTTGTGTGGATGGCAAAGTTGAAGGCAATCATGCAGGCTCAAAGATGAAGCAACACACAGGCTGAAACAGACAGGCAAGTATTCACTTGAA